TCGTGTGTCTTTCATGAATGACTTTCCTTGCTTTCCTGGCAAACCCGCATCGCCAAGTTGGCATTACTTGGATGGGAGGTTTTCAACGAGAAAGCCACTGATCCACCCAGCATCAGCGGAAACGATCTTAGTGGCGCCAAAAAGTGTCGCCGAGAGATGCCGCCGCCTGAGAAAGGAATGATTACTTTCATCACCCTTTTTGGTGTACCGAGAATCCGACAACGGATTTATGGAACTTGGGACTTGCAAGTCAGACCAAGAAGAAAGGAGATACTCGGTGTTGATGTGGATGACAGTCTCAGATCTCGATCTGTCAATCTATTGCACGTTGCCAAGGGTTTTTAGAGTCAAGCCGTTGCAGCCTAATCTTGCAAACCAAGACAACTATCATGAAGCTTGAAAAGGCTCAGAAATCAAGACGAGGTTGACGACTGCAGGCTTCACCGCATGCCCACAGACAATGTTTGGGTGGTATGCAACGACCCTAGTTCCCGGGAAAAAGTCGTCTTCTTGTTGGCCTTCCAACAGACGAAAGGTGTTCGCAACGTGCCTCATTCAATTCATCAACGCTGAATGGATGGATATGTTGCCATGGGCCAATTTGAGGTGTCATGGTCCTGATTTAGCACCGTATTCAACGGCGCCTAGCAACTGACCTAGTGAGCTTGATCGGCCACGACAAAGAACAACAAGGCGTCGCAGACGGACGATACCCTGCTAGCCTCAAGCGGTGTGCCGTCCCGCACATTCTAATGGAAGCCAGCCAAGATGGCGCGAGCATTTTTAACCCTGCGAAGCCCGCTGTCTTTCCGAGAGCTATGCGAGTCGCGATCGCGGCTGCGTCTTGACATATTTACGATGGCACCAAAAACCAGAACTACTAGTGCTCGTGTCACGACTGTTCACTGCAACGCTGAGGCGCATTGCTTACGCCTGCGCGCGCGCAGGGATGGGCTCACGGCAGGAGAAGAAAACTGCATGGCCAGCTAGTGCCTGAGAACGCACGAAGCTCAGCGCGCGCTACTGCTGCTTCATTCTCTTCTAGTCTCATTCTGGGGCGCGACCATCGTTCCCGTCAATGAAGGACTGCCTCATTGTGAGACCACATGCTCTGAGCGATGAATCCTTACTGATAGGTGAGAGGAAAACAACAAACAGTCAACTCGACAATCCGTCCACCAACTCGTGGTGAGAACCTCTCGGAACCCAATCACTGCGGATACGATCCTACGGGAATGGCTGGGATTGCGGCCCAGCAGGCGCTAAAAGCAGCCAGCCGCAGCCCCTGGTTGCCGACAGCACGCCGGTCAGAACTTTGACTTCTCTGTCTCGAGCTCTCTCCTCTCCTGCCGACGAACAAGGCCCGGCGTGGCCCAAAATCCGCAGACCGGATTTATCGTTTTGTCAACATGGCGAAGTCGCCTCGCGCCGGAAGCGACGGGTAACTGGTTGCTCCTCGGCGGCCGGGTCTTCGGACGTGGGAACCAACAGCATCGCGCCGCCTCACTTGAGGCACCCAGATTGTTCTCTCGTCGAGAATTGCGTGCAGCTGGCCGGCGGTGCGACCATCGCAGCAGCTCCGAGTGGGGCCCTAAATCTGAGTCTTGACGTCTAAGACGAGAACCAACATTAGAAAAAAAGAACAAAGGCACACGGCCTACTACCGCGGCGATCCCGCGGCGTCGGGTCCTTTCTTTCTCCTGTTCCTCAGCCGGAGGAGTTTCCGGGTGCCGTGTCCACGGTACGCTGTTACGACAGTCGCGATGGTGCAGATTTGATGACGATGACATTTTGAGCAAGCGGAGAGGCCAGGCCCCCTTGTCGCTTCGCTTTTACGTCCGCAAGGGAGGCTGGCTTTCCCGTCGCGCTGTGTAACTGCTAATTTCACGGCACACAACTCTCGGGGTTTGAAGGCGTCTCTCGCAGAGCCAACCGACCAGCGGTCGGTATGTTTTTTTTTTTATTCCTCCCAGCGGCACGCGCCGTTGGCATTTCGGGCGTTCGGCAGGATCCTGGGGAGGAAGAAGAGACCGGGATTCGAAAAGATCATACATGCCGCGGCGTGTATGTACGAATACCTCTCTCATGCAATGCCTGACCGGCGCATCGTCCTCAAAGGTCCCATGCCACCAGTTCTCGTGTTTATCTAGCCGTGTTACAGCATTCGATAGTCCAGGTCACAGGACTCGAGGGCCACGCTGGTGACGCTGAAAAATTATCTTCTTGGCGCCGGCGGCCGTGGATTGCGAAGGGAGAATCGACCTGAAGATTGCGTCGACGTCGTACAAGCAGAGCGAGGGGCCCTTGATGGGCCTTTTCTCGCCTCTCGCACGAGTCCAGGGTTTTGATGACCGGGGTGCTGGTTCGGAATACCACTCTCCTCTCCCGCTGCGATGCTGCAAGTGCCATGATCAGCGAGCTGAGCAGCTGTTTTTACGACGACTGACATGAGATTATGCCGCCTGCTGCTACTCACCGACGGGGGGTTGCAGACAGAAGGCTCCATTGCAGTGGAGATCGATCGACGCGGGAGATCCGACCTTTCGCTTCTCGAAGCGAGCGAACGCGCATGGCGAAGACGACCCGGTGCAGTACAGTGCAAGTGCAGTGCACAGCTGAGGGCCTGGCATGTCCACAAGAGGTTGGAAGGCGTACCACGAAGATGTGCATATTCATTCCATGCGCATGGATATGTTTAGGAGCGATGGCGGAGGACAGGACGGCCATCACAAGCTGCGCCTCGATGCAAAATTATCCCGCATCTTGGACGCGCCCCAAGTCCATCTGGATAGTCGATGCCGAACACTGCAGGTCTTTTCAGGATTGATGACCACTTCCAGACCGTTCAGCATGCATAGGCCTCACATAGGCCATGCACCATTCTTCCTGCGGCCGTCTGGTGATGTCTTGGTAATGGACCTATGACGACACAAAACATAAGCTGACCATCTTTTTGGCCGGAGGGCAGGACGTTCCAAGATGTCTTTGCGTCAGATAAACGTCTCTGCGTCAATCTCACTGTCTCTCTCTATACTCTGCAAAGGGAGGAGGAAGCACATGGACACGCCTCGTGCGAGCCCGTCGCGTGGTCAGGTGCATGTGATTGTTGCATATGTTTAAGACAGCAAGAGACACAGAGACATGGTAGAACCCTGAGTAGAAGGCGCGGACTTTGATTCAACCCCGCAAGTAAGGGAGGAGGAGGGGAAATCTGCAGGTGCGTGGGATGAATGCCGGACGGATATGTTTGTGTGTGGTCTCAAAGGGAGGGGCGTAGAAAAAGGGCTGAAGTGGTCGAGTTCTAGGTCGTGAGTGTGTGTTGTGTATGTAAGAAATGTCTTGACTCGGATGGGGCCGGGCACGCGCGGGAGACGGGAGGAGAAGCGCAGCGCGGGCGGCGGCGGCTATGGCATGACGATTCCCAGCCGTTGACATTGTACCGGAGAGAGGGCCTGATGGGGCTGACGGGGAGGGTCTCTGGAATGTTGCGGCTCTTGGGGCCTTGGAAGGTGTAGCCTTGTCGGGCAGGGTGATATTTGAGGGCTCTCTCTCGTAATCCAGGAATGCAAATCATCTTCTTGGCATGTGCTATCGTTCTCCTCAAGACTATCGTATCGACTCGGGTTACTCGTTTTCGAATGGGGCTTGGCTCTCGGGAGCGGTACCAGCTGTTGCTTTAGAGTCATCCGGAACATTCAAGCCCTTATGCGCCCTCTCTCTGTGTCTCTCTCTCCAATATCTAACGAGCGCATTGCCGTCTTCGACCATTGCGGTTATGTGACCCGAGATCGAAGATCGAAGATCGCGGGGCCCGGGTGTATAATAAACGATACAGGGATGAGGCGGTCTCTGGCGAAATCGCGGGGTATCATCAATCGCAAGTAAGGCCCCTTCCCGCCGGCCGTTGTCCCTTTTCAGATGTCATCGCATGACGTTCCCTTCCTTGGGGGGTGGACGGCATGAAGGGATGACGGGGGGGGGGAAAGGTTCCAAGGACTGGCCGTCGACTTGGATGTTGCTTGTCGGAGACCAGATGACTCTGACGAGGGGGGGCAGCATGTCCTGGGGACGGGAGGGAGGGTTGCGGGAGTGCTGGATCACGAGTCGAGGGCCTTCCATCGACTTTCGGCGGGCAGGTGTGGTGGTGATGTGGTGGTGGAATGGGGTGCCGTGTGCGTAGCAAGAGGCAGTCTGCATGGCCATGTGCCGTCTGCGGGTGCCGTGTGGTGGTTGACGCGAAGAAACAGAGTTTAAGAAACCGTCGCAAGTCTCTTCTTTGGGTGGGAGGGGGGGCTGCGACTTTGGCAGGACATGTGCGAACTGGTGGCCACAACAAGACAGTTGTGTCAGGGGAAGCAGATGATTCCCAGGGATGGGCACGTCTTTGAGCGACTACTGAAGACAGCTGTAGGAGCTATCATTTTATCAGCCAAAATATCAATATCGAGGAACAGGCAGGTAATTTTGACTTCGTGTATTCAAACTCGAGAGTACTGCTATCTTAAGGGGGTACGGCTACTCAAAGCGTACATTCTATGAACCGTCTGAACCAATTCCGACAAAAAAAAGAGACACTTGAACACCTCCAGATACCATGATTGTAAGGAAAGACGATGAACGACTTCATGACGAAAGGAAAATTCCGAACCCATTATGAGACAATGACTTTGTGACGCGCTCCCGTGTCCCTCCAGGATAAAACAACGCCCCAAAGTGATTTGCCTTGTGTTCTTTCCACCTATTCCTCCTCTTCGCCTTTCCAACATAATAAGGAATGATTCGTATGAGTGTGTGTGAGATGCTGTCGCACTTGTACAGGGAGCGGATATCAATGTTAAGACAGGATGGAAAAGAAATGATGACAAGAAAAATGAATCCTAAACAATGATCAAGAAAAGAAAAATCAATCTCATATCCATGCTCGCATTTCATGTAATGTCCTGTGTCCCTTCTATAACCTGCAATGCGTGTGCTCATATGCATTCCGCTATGTTGGTTCCTTACTCGCAAACCGCTTCACGAATGAACTGTCCAAGCATCTTGGCCTAAGAGGATGTTAGTTAATGTTGAAGATATGGATGAGATGAGGAGCCTTACGTAGTCGCCATGCATCATGGAAAAGTGGTTGCCAGGCATGTGCCTAGTCCTGAACCTATTAATGTCCAGGTACTCGTCCCAGCGGTTGGGACCGAAGTCGGTCCTGTTGTCCAGGAGGAAGAGAGCATGGCCCGTCGGGTAAGGATCCGGGCGAGGGTCGGTGGGAAGGTGGCATACACCATCCTCGCACCAGATGGCCATGACGTTGGGGCACTTATCCTTTGGGATAGGCTCCGCAGTGTAGTTGCTCAGGGCGGTAACACTGGCAGCGAAGTGGGGGAGGAGCCAAGAAGGAATCTTCTTGGCAGCCTCGTCGTCACCCTCGCCGAGAAGGCCGATGGAGGCAAACCAGGCGTGGAGAGACTTGGGGAGGGGCTCGATGGTGATGGGGCAAGGGGCGTCGATGATGACGAGGTTGTCGACAGTCTCACCAGCCTTGGTGAGCTGGTTGACAATTTCGTAGGCGATGACACCACCCGCAGACCAACCTGCCAGGGAGTAGGGGCCTTTGGCCTGTCTAGCCTTCATAGCCTCGATGAACTTGGAAGCCATGCCGTAGACACCGCACTTGTATTCCTCAGGAGTCTTCATGAAGGGAGAGAAGAGACCCCAGACAGCCCAGTCGGAGGAGACCTGGCTGATCTCGGTGTAGGAGGTGGCGCAACCCGAGCCGTCAGGAACCATCCAGAGGTTCTTGGTGGCAGTACGAGTGCTACCCTGGAGGAGGATTGATGTGGCCTTGCGGTGAGGGTAGTTGTCGACAATCTCCTTGGGTGGGGGAGGCTTGGCGATGGAAGCGGTGGTGTTACCAGGGTGAGTGTTAATCTCCTTGGTAGGCTGGACCTTGGGCTCACGACGAACCGGAGCGGGCTTGGGAGGTGCAGCCTTGGGCTTGGGCTTTGGGCCAATGCCAAGAGCCTTCTCAACCTCAAGCAAAGAGGGGTTGGTGACGAAGAGGTCGTTGGGGATATCCATGCCAGACTTCTCACGAAGCGTGCCCAAGATGGACAAACTCATCAGAGAGTCCATACCCAGAGCAGCCAGATCAGGAGCGGCAACAATCTCATCAACCTCAACACCCATCTCAGTGGCAATAGTGTCGCGGAGGATGTTCTGCAGGTCACCAGAAGCCTCATCGTCACCCTCGCCCTTGACCGAACGGTCACTCTCCTCGTAGGGAGTGGTCACGTTAGAGTCGGACTCGAGCTCAGGAGTCTCAGAAACGGAGCCGCTGGAGTCACCAGAGTCCTGGACGTAGCTGTCCTTGCGGTCGGCAGTCTCGAACTGAGCGAGGAAAGCCTTGAAGGCACCGATGGTAGGGTACTCGACGAAAGCATGAGAGTCGATGTCGATGTCAAGCTCCTCACGCATTCTGCCAGAAACGGTCAGGGCCATGAGAGAGTCGCAGCCAAGATCGGTGAAGGCAATGTTGTCTGCAAGCTCGTCATGGGTGACACCGACTTCCTTGGCCAAGATGTCAAAGACCTCTTGAACGACAGACCGCTTAGCAAGCTTGGCATTGACAGTCTTGAGGTTGCTGGCGGTGACTTGCTTGGTGCCCTTCTCCTTACCAGCCTTGTCCTTGGGAGCAGCCTTGGCGGGGGCGGCCTTGGCCGCGGCAGCGGCAGGAGCGGGAGCAGCGCCAGCAAGGGCACGTCCGCGGGGCGGCAGGACCATGTTGAGGACCTTGCGAGGGATGGAGGCGAACCTAACATCGCCGGCAACACCGATGATGCGGTCGCCGTCAAAGACGTACGCGTCACCAGCCATCATCTTAGTACCCTTGACAGGCTGCATGCGGATGTAAGAGCGGTATGACTTCTTGGGGTCGAGCTTCTCAGTGAACCTGAGAGATCCCCATCCGTGAGAAATGAAGACCTGCTCACGAGAGTCAACAGCATCAGTACCGTTGATGATGAAGCCAGAAATGTGGCAACAGCTGTCAATCCAGTAAGGGTTGAAGAAGAAGCTGCCATCCTTGTCGGTGGTCTGGAAGGTAACCTTTGCAGTAGCCTCACAAGACTTGCTGTCCAAGATGACTTCCTCCATGCCCTGGTACTTGGGGTCGTAGTCGACGAGGGCGTTGAAGAGCTTGTAAGCCAGGCCGCGGCCAATCTTGGAAGCCTTGCCCTGTCTCTCAGCCTCCTCAAGAGCATCAACACGGCCCTTAATGAGGTACGTGACGCGCTCAAACTCATCAGCCCACTGCTCGGTGCTGCCGTACACGACCTTGCAGTGTGCGTGCTCGACCTTCTTGGAGCCCTCGCCAGTGTGGAAGCTGACGTCGGCGTAGCCAAGAGCGGCGTTGGCAGTGACCGTGGTGCGGAGGATGTGGGCATCAATCTTCTCATCGAAGATGAGAGTCTTGGGAACCTCGACGTTGGCGACGTTCAAGCCAATGTCCTCAGTGCCGGGGCGAAGCATCTTGTAGGCGTAGTCGCAGATGGTCATCGCCATGTCGGCGTATAGGGTCGACGGGCACAGAGGCGCACCGTTGCACAAGTGACCCTCAACAAGAGGACGAGTGTCAGGACGAGACAGGTTAGTCTCGGTCTCGATGATAGCGATGTCACCCTTGACATCCTCGTTGGTAATCGCGTGCACGGAGGTAGTAGAGAGCTTGGGCTTCGCCGGCTCAATCTGGAGAGGAGCCTTAACGGCGGCAGGGCCACGGTTCTTGGTAAGACACCAGTCGCCAGTGTACTGAAGCCAGTAGTTCTTCTCGTCGAAGGAGTAGGTGGGAAGGTCCAGGAGGCGGGTGCAGTCGCTGAAGTCGCGGTGAAACTCGTCCCAGTCAAGGTTGATGCCGGCAGTGTGGAGGGTGCACAGAGTGTTGCTAAGAACCTTGTAGGTAGACTCGTTGCGGCGGAGAGTGGGAACGGCAATGGAGCTGATGCCGAACGAGGACTTGACGAAGTTGGCACACACGGGGTGAGGTCCAATCTCAAGGAAGACAGTCTTCTCGTCAATGGAGCCGGACTGCTGAGCGTGAACAAGGCCGCCAAGGAAGTTGACCGCGTCGCGAGCGTGGTTGCGGAGGTAGGCAGCATTAATAGGCTCGTTCTCAACCATCTTTCCGAGGAGAGGAGAGATGACAGGAACCTGGGGGACCTCGAAGCTCACAGAGCGAGCGAGCGTCTCGAAGTCGTCCAGGATAGCGTCAACCTGGGCAGAGTGGAAAGCGAAGGGCACCTTGAGCTGAGTGCACTTGAATCCGGCGGCACCGAGGGTCGAGGAGATCTCGCTGACCTTGGTGGAAGCGCCGCTGAGAACAGTCTCGCGGGGGCCGTTGATGCAAGCCACGTTGACAGCCTCGGACTGAGAGCCGAGAGCCTCCATGACAGCGTCGACAGGGCCAGTGACAGCCAGCATAGCGTGAGTGCCTGCGGTGCACTTCTCAACAAGGAGCTGAGCGCGAGCTCCAACAAGGTAAATAGTGTCGCTGGCAGAAAGGACACCAGCGGCGTTGAGAGCGGCGTACTCTCCAAGAGAGTGACCCATAACAGCCGAGGGCTTGATGCCCCAAGAGGCCCAGAGACGAGCGAGAGCCATCTCGAAGCAGCACAGTCCCAGCTGAACAACAACAGGAGACAGCCTAGTGACATCAGACTCGCTGCCGTCGATGAGAGGCAGGAAGTTGGGGAAGCCGTGGATCTGTGCCAGCTGGTTGAACTCATCAATGCTGTCACGGAAGACGCGGTAGTGAGCGTACAGGTCCTTGCCAAGGCCAGCGTAGTGGGAACCTTGGCCAGTGAACATGAACGCAACCTTGGGCTGCTGAGTGGAGATGGGGCTGAAGTTCTCCTTGAGTCTGTCCTTGATGAGGCGCTGAGCCTCCGGCAAGTCAGAAGCGGCGACGTTCATACGCCAGTAGTGCTGGATGCGGCGAGCAGTCGTGGTGTAGGCGACGTGGGACAGAGGAGTCTGGGGGTTCTGCTCCATCCAAGCAACGAGTCTCTCGGCGTTGCGGATCATGGCAGCCTTGGACTTGCCAGTGACGGTGATGACCTGGACATTGCGAGCATCAACCTCAGCGGCCTTGAGGTGGGGAGCGTCCTCAAGGAGCAGACCGGTGTTGCCACCAGCGGCACTGAAGTTGTTGACGAAGATACGTCTAGGCTTGCCGTCTCTCCTCTTGAAGGGGGTAAGGTGGAATGCAATGTTGACATTGCGCTCTGACAAATCCTTGGGGAAGGTCTTGTTGATCTCCTTCTTAATACCGACGTGGGGCGGGATAGCATTCTTCTGCATCATCATGAGAACCTTGCAAAGGGCAGTCACACCCGAAGCAGCCTCTCCGTGACCGACGTTGGACTTGATGGCACCGAGGTACAAAGGTCTGTCCGCGGGTCTCTTGCGATCGGCAGGAGCGAAGACGTTCGTAACGGAAACCATCTCAGTACCGTCACCAGCCTGGGTACCGGTACCGTGCATCTCGACGTAGTCGACGTCGAGAGGGTCAACACCCGCATCGTCGAGAATAGCGCTCGACAGGATGGACTGGGTAGGACCGTGGGGATGAGTGATGGAAATGGCATCAGCGGAGTGGTTGGTAGCCGTGCCCAAGACCACCGCGAGAACATTGTCCTTGTCCGCGATGGCATCCTCCAGACGCTTGACGATGACAGAGGCACAGCCGTCAGCACGGCAGTATCCATCGGCACCGTTGTCGAAGGTAGCGCAAGGTCCAGTCTTGGACAAGAACTGACCACGACTCAGACCGGCGAAAATGTCGGGGTTTGTCATGCAGGACAGACCACCAACGATAGCAGTGTCGCAGTCCTTCTGCCACAGAGAGTTGCAAGCAACGTTCAGGGCAGCAGCACTGGAAGAGCAGGCCGTGTCAATGTTCAGACTAGGGCCACTGAAGCCAAAGTGGTAGTTGATGCGACCAGGACCGAAAGCGCGGACACCACCGGTGATGTAGTAGGTATCGACCTCCTGGGCGGCGTTGATTTCACGCCAATCGTCGGAAGTCTGACCGTAGAAGGTACCGATACGATCCAGTCTCGTAGAGGGAGTGCGGTTAGGGACATAACCGCACATCTCGAGGGCCTCGTAGGCAGTCGTCAACGCCATACGCTGCATGGGATCGGTCTGGAAAGCCTCACGGGGAGACATGTTGAAGAATCTGGGGTCGAAGTAACCCGGGTTCTCAATCCAGCATCCGTACTGGGAGTGACTCGTGTTGACAGCCTTGCCAGTGATGTCGTAGTGAGTGGCGACGGGGAAACGGTCGGCAGGAACGACTCTGTGAACATCCAGACCCTTGGCCAGGAGCTCCCAAAGCTTCTCGTGGCTGGCAGCGTCGGGGAAGCGACCTGCCATACCGACGATGGCGAGCTTGCACTTGCCGGCTGGACCGTGGTTACCAATCTTGGAGTTGTAGCTCTCCCTCTGGATCTTGGGACCAGGGCGGACGATAACGTCAAGCTGTGTGCGGTCCTTGATCGTCTTCTGGAGGGTCTCGGCGTTGTGTGTAGGGCCGAAGGGGATAACGAGGCATGTTGATCCCTCAAAGTCACGGGCAGTCTCGATGCAGCCGTCGATGCCCTTCTGGAACTGAAGGACGTCGACGAGGCACTCGTGAGCTACAGCCTGGAGCAGAGACTTGGTGCTAGTCTCAGCGAACCAGATACCCTTGGTGCCAGACATAATGGCAGACCGGGGCTTGCTCTTCTCCAAGACCTCGGTCACCTTGGGGTCGTCAAGGCGAAGGATCTTCTCGATGTCGGCAGTGCCGTGGAGGTGAGCCGCATGGTAAGGTCCGTAGACGGGAATCGCCGTCGACTTGACGCCGAAGACGTTCTGGTCATCCAGGGCCTTCAGGGTTGCTGGCGGTCCGGAGATCGCAAGACTTGATGCCGACACAGCGCTAACGTATGCTTGGCTGGCGACGGGGATGTACTGCTAGAGATTAGTTTCTGAGACAAACGCCGTGTGCAACAGAAGAGCTCACATTAGATTCATGGAAATTAAAGAGAGCCTCTTTGGCTTCAGGTTCCTTCAGACCAGGAAGGATGTGGGTCCAAGGTTCAGATTGGCCGACCGGCGGGCTGAGTCTCTCAGCCAACGAACCGACGTGAGTGCCAGTTCTGAAGGCCATGAGGACTACCTGAACGGCAAGGGGTATCAAGGTAGAGACTGAGGGGGTCGAGGCGATAGCAGCGGCGGCAAACAGCCCCGTGCAGAGACCCATGAAGAATGTTTGGTCGTGAAGGCAGACATCTTGAGGCTCCTTCTCAGTGCGGCTGCAGATGTGTCAGTTACTAATCCGGCGAGAGTTCTGTCTCATGCCTGGGAAGGCTTGGGGGGGCGTACTCAATGTAGTGAGCCAGCTGGGTGATGCAAAGCAGGGCACTGTCGATACCGGGGTGCTTGATGCTCTGGGCGTGGTATCGTTCGTTGAGCTGTCGGAGGGTCAGGAACGTGGGGAGCTTCGACCGTTCCAACTTCCCCAAACCATCGATCTCCTCCCTCAAAGCCTGGCCAGCCTGCTCGAGGAACGTCTTCGCTAGGGTGCTCGGATTTCCTGAACGGCAGAACTCGGCGAGAAATCCATGGGTATCAAGTGACTGATCTCCGAAGAGGAGATAAGACATCTTGTCGGCCATCTTGAAGGGTTGTCGACATAGATTTCCTAGGTGATGAGGTTCCGGTGTGCCAGCTAGAACAAGATGTCGAGATGCCGGGAGCGAGTCTTGAACTTATATGATTGAGATGGTCTCGAGGCAGTGGGTGTGCACACCAAAGCCAACAACCGGCCCTCCTCCCGAAATAATCAACCCAGCTGTCAATGTCATGGCTGATGGATAGCGGAATTGCAACATGGCCTGCAACACATGCTGGGTAGAGGGAGTGAGGTTGAGGGGGTGGACGGAAGACATCCCATGTAGACACACACCCCCTCGCACCCCTTCCCTTGGTGCCCACTTGGCCCATCCTTTTCTTGCCCGGGTGGATAGCGTGAGTCCGGCCCTGAGCTTCCTCGGTGACCGAAGCTGATGGATGATTTTCAGTGTCTTGCCGCATCGGTCGAGGCCCATTGGTTCAGGGCAAGCGATCGAGGCCGCCACACGGGCTTTCTTGCGCCAGTTCCTCTGTGCTGGGGTGAGGACGGACAAGCGGACAGACGCAGAAAGGACCAAAATACGCCGCAACGCAGCAATTCGAGCGGAGCAGGGCAAACCACACGGCTTCTGCTCACTCATTCTGCCAACATCTCTCACGCACCCTTTCTTTCCCTCTCACTCTGCCTATTCCACTCACTCTCGAATCCACACACCCAGAACGGCACGGGGGGGGAGCGAGGGAGGGGGGATCGTGGACTTTTGCTTGTACCCAGGTATCGGGGTGTTCTTGACAGCGCGCATCTGGGACTGTGCTTGAAAGTGAGCAGTGACTGGGCATGTCCGTGGGGCTTGTCAAGGCCAACTGGACCAGACATGACGTGATGCCACTTGGGGGGTTGCCCAGGACCACGATTCTATCAGAAGCATACAGGCCGCAGCCATGGCCTGAATACGGTAGGCATGTAGGCGGGCGAAGCAGCAATACGACGAGCTACCTAACAAGAAGAGTTTCGAAGGACCTAAGATGGCAGTTGGGAGGTTATGGAGTTTCGATCTCCGAGATGTTGGGCGGCAGAGGAAGATCGCGTGGGATGAAACGGGTCTGAGAAGACGACAGGTCGATTAAGGTAATGTTTGGTGAAGGCGAAATGCCTGGCCGTCAGTTGCTGGGTCAGGTCATCGGGTGGTCTCGATGCTTCTCGAAAGGACCTTGACCTGGATGGAGGCTGCCAGCATCTCAGGGCAGAGACGGGACCACTTCGAGGCTGCACTAGAGGGCGTGAGGAAAGTGATGAAGATGGTAAGCAGGATGGAAGATGCGAAACACGGCCACGCAGCGCAGCAAGGCGGCGCACCAGCAAAAACGGTCGGGTGAAACTCCGCAAATACGAGCCTGGCTGCGACAGCAACAGCGATAGACGGTGGTCAGTCCTCGAGGGTCTCGCACAGCGGGCGGACCGGAATCCCCACGGGTCGAGGGGGCAGATCCGGGGCGATGGGCCCTGTTTGATTCTCGGACTGTGGTGGGCGGGCTGCAGGCTGGTGGGCTGGTCGGCGAGGATGCTATGCAGTCCAAGCATGGGCAGCATAGGCGCAGGTGGAAAAGCAGACAGGGTGAATCGGATTTGACAGCCTGCGTTGCGGTGCGGTGCGGTTGCGGTGTTGGTCGCGCGGGCGGGCGCGTGGTGGATTGTGTGTTGTGGGTTGCGGGGGTGGACGATGGGCGACGCTTTGTCCGACGGACATCCCCAAGGACATTGCCAAAGCGAGATGAACCCAGAGATAGAAACCAAACCGACACGCCCCACGCCCCCTCCTTGGGGTCTTTTAGGGCCAATGGACGATCATGATTTTGGCGCAAAAAGGGGGACGATAGCAGAATTTGAGACGTGGCCGCTGACGGCCGCTGTTGCCATGCGTGTCGACGTTGCTGTAAATGTCGAGATGGCAGCAAATTGACGGATGATGTTGAATTGAGGTCGGAAAAAGACGACAGCCGCGTGAAGGATTGACGTCCAGCCGGACAAATGGGGGGGAGGGGGATGGAATGCGAAGTGAGGTGAGTGGCTGGTGTGCGGCTTGCGGCTTGCGGCTCATCTCTCTGTGTCTCTGTCTCTCTTGCCGTCTGCTTCTGTCTCTATCTCCGTGGACAAAGTACCTGTCCTGCTATTGAAGGGGGGCAGGTACATTGCTGCTTGCTTACCCTAGCAGACCTCCCTGATCATATTACTACCTACAAGGCAAGGTAACCACAGCCCACCTCACTCCTTCCTTCCTTCTTGAATGTGCTGCACCAGTTGCTGCTTCCCGGTGCATCTTCAGCACGAAAAAATAATAGTGGGTTATCCGATTAGCAGTGTGGGTCTCTCGGCCTGCGGCAAGCACTGGTGCAGCGGTGCAATGGGGGCCGCGATGCGGTGCCTCACCTCACTCTGATATGTGCCGAGAGGGTACCGATTCGGGGAATTCAGCGGCAGTTTTGGCGGGGCAGGTACATCGCTCCATGTACTTGCCTCAGTGGGAAGGTGGGTGGGTTCCTGCTGCCCTGGGAATCTCGGTAAGGGTGCCTTGCACCACTTACTACGCAGTACGGATACCTGCCTTGCACTTACCGACCTAAGTAAGGTACTTTGCTTGGTCAGTCAGTCAAGTCAGTTCTTCTCCATCACGTCCCTCTATTCCTCCTTTTTTTCAGATGCATCGTGTCGCCGCCGCTGCACTACGCTGTTGCGCTGCTGCAGGGCTTGGACGGGAGCGACGGGAATAATGAGTAAGTCAGGAAGGCTAAGAGCTGGTCAAGAGTACAAAGCGGAAAGTAAAGGGGGAAAGCAACTGCCCACGCGTCGTACGTGCTCTTGCCCTGCGCCAACTAAGGTACCTTAGGTGCACTCAGGTCGGTCAGTCTCTTAGCACTCGCCACTAACACTGGACCGCTCGAGGGTCGATGTGAATGGATGTGGTGCGGTGCGGTGCGGGCCATGGATGTTCCGGGAAGACCCCTTTCCATTTCTGCCTACCTATGGAGGTACGTCCACGGCCAACTGTCCATGTCCATACGCCCATTCCACCTCACTTACCTTACCTAGGCAAGGTATTCATCGGAAGGCCCGTCGACTTCTAGCCTCGAAGAAACACAAACCCCCGGCACCAGCACTAACACGGCGCGATAGCCTAAGGCAAGGTACTCCGTACACGGGCCAAGCTATCCCTGATAACGCATAGCAGCAGCCACACGGGCTCGCAGGGCTCTCGCTCCCCCCCTTTCCGCATCTAAGCTCATTAAGGTCAAGTGCTAAGGCAAGGGGTCCCGCCTGGCCTCGTTTCTCCTTGCGCTTATTCCTATTATCTGGAGCCATCTGGAGCCGTTGGGAGTCTTAGCTGAGGGGGCCTACGCAGATCGTATCGTTCCTCCCAACCTACCTCCACCCTATCGTGCCTATCTTAGGTATCCGTACCTATGTTTGGTGATTGCTCCTTCCGTGCTCCTCTGAGAGCACCCATACCATACCACGCCACTCTCTTCGACGCCATGGCCCTGTCATGTTGTGCCATGGACCGCTTCTTGACCGCGCGACCTTCGACTCGACTCCTTCACCAGACAGGCAGAGCCCTGTCCACGTCGCCCTCGTCGTCTTTGTCGTTGTCGTTGTCGTTGTCTCCATCCCGTCTACCGTGAGGCACTGTGGGGACAGCGAAACGACTTCACCGGAAACACGCGCGCGCAACCACTGGCTTGCTTCCAAAGCAACCTGTGCATACCTTACCTTACCTTACAAGCCAGTCCTCGCCGGAGTACACCTTCGTGAACCAAGACCACTAGCAAAACGTCCAGCGTCAGCAGAGGCCAGCACCGATCCCGCATCGCCTCGCCCCGCACCCGTACCGCACCGCTTACCTCGAAAGGGGGATTCGGTTTCCGTCCGAAAGCCTTGCCCTGGTCCTCCATCTTGGGCCCTTCGCTCTGAGATACAACTCTCGCCAGCACCTTATTTTCGTGCCAGCAGCTTGAAGCACCGACGACGCTTGCTTCTTCTTCCAGAAATGCTTGGAAGCCGCAAGCGGGACCCGACTCGACGGTCCGACGGCAACGGTCACGGGCAATGACATCAAAGCTCATCTCTGCCGCCACTCAGAGCCCTATGCAACGACTTTTCTCAATGGCCATCCATCCGGGCAGACTTTGCACATGTCTTGCCCCATGGCCAAGGCTGCGACCCAAGACCCAAGACCGCACCCAAGAACATGCCGATGCAAGCTGCAGTCTACGGTCTGAGGTGCTGCACGGCACCCAGCAGCCCTGTGATTCGAGATGTGGTCTCAAATTCGCTCTCGCACTCTCAGGAAGGTTTCTGGGCGTTGAGGTGGTCAGCAACTTGCAACGGCTCTTACCTGATTACCAAGTAGAGTTTGCACGCCTTTCCTTCCTGCTCTCGTTTGCTATGTAATCCCCAGCTTCCAGCATCAAGTAAAACGCCTGGCCCTGGCTGCTGGGATTACGATATCTTGAACTTCCTCATGGAGAAGTGGCAAGGTCAAGGGAGCATGGATACCGGTGCCATGCGGTGCCTCACAAGAGGGGATGGGGGTGGTCTTAGTCGGCTCGCACAAATCGTCAGCTTCCCAAACGCGTGCTGTGTGCGGTGTGCGGTACACATGCCTCGCCTGGCCTGGTCATTCATCTCAATATTTTGGGTCTGTCCCATGGCAATGGACACAGGGCGAGAACAGGACCCCTCCTCGATGCATTATTTCGGAGCAAGTGGTATCCCGGCTGCGGGAAGCGGTGCGGCTTGTGGATAATTCCCAGGGCCATCTGCCGCTCATGCCAGAGGACGCGTCTACAGAGTCATGAAAAACCGGCATGGGGGACTGAAGGAAATGGGCCTAGTTGGTTGTAACAACCGATTTTCAGGTGAGCGTTGCGGACGGACAGTCTGGAATGCAGAGCCAAGTGCACGGCGCTACTGCCCCAAGCCTCTTTGGGCTCTTGACTTCTCTTTAGGCCCAACGGCCGTCGGCGCAGGGCGGCGTACAAAGCTATC